TTACCAGATGGTGAGCTGAAGCAGGCTAGAGGAATTGGTGCTGCCAATCCTAGAGAAAGGGAATAGAGGAAGAGAAGCAGTCTTTGAGAAGAAGTTGTTTAGTGAAATCATGTCCTGTTAAAGCATAAAAGAAATTAATATAGCTAGTTACACAATATAGGTAGGATTTTGTTTGAAAGAGCTACCCAGAGAATCTTGCTTGAAGCTTAAAATTGAATATAAAGGAATTTCTTGCTAGAAAACAATTTCATCATAGAAAAAACACTTAAATTAGAACTTAATTGGATCAAACTAATAAGTGATTTAAAATCATTTGTAGGAAACTTTTAAAATGTAACTAGAAAGGTGTTGACCAGTGATAATATATATCATATATATTTCTAAGGAGGGGAAGAAAAAGACACCAAAATATTTAGGAAGTTAAATTTACAGAATTATTAATTTATAGTAACTACCTAAAATTATTAATATCCTAAAATGGCTAAAATCTATGAATTGGAATTTCTTTATGTGAATTTTATAGTACAATTGTTTTTGAAAAAGTTGATTACTTTGAAAAAACCCATTAACACGTATTCATGAATTAATATATATATTTCATTAGAATGAAATAATGTGGGTTCTGTGCAATTTTGCCTCTACCCACTTATTTCAACATATTCTAATGAGTGGGTGATCTTTATGCTGGCATATCCTGATTATTGTACGAATGTATACTTAACAGATATCTAAGTGCAATGCTGAACCTGGGAAGCAGTTACTTACAAACCTAATTACTAAGAATGCACTCCTGAATGGCCCAAAGTGAGGAGATATACAGGTAGATTTTCCAACGGTCTATTAACCTAACAGCCTATAGCAGTTCCCATGAACTGAGGGAAGCAAAGTTTTGGGAGAAGAGATACAGAATACTTGCAGAAACAACAACAACTTAATGCTGAGGTCTGCCACCTTGCTGGCATGCCACTTCTCCATCCTTGAGGAAATCTAGCTTGAAGTGGTCACTGCAAACATCTGGTACAGTTTTGAATTTACATCCACAAATTAACTTCAGGTGATAAGTATGTCAACTTCGGTCATAGTAAACAAGAGTAAATGTTTTTAATTCCAGCTGAAATCATACATAGGGAGCATCTAATAATTGGAATATAAAACATTGATTTAGCTTTTTTGGTTTCTTTTTCTTTCTTTTTTTTTTTTTTTTGGTTGTGCTGAGGTGTGAACTCAAGGCCTACCCTTGCTAGGGAGGCAGTCTTACCATTTGAGCCACTCTGCCGGTCCCTGATTTAGGGTTTTTACGTTCAAAATATTTTGTGGCATCATGGAAACACAGTGTAAATCTCAAGAGAAATTTGTCTAGAAATTTGACAAACCTTTACTCATTGTCCAGTTAGAAAATGACTTACTGAAAAGTCTTCTATAAACTGGAAAAGGCACTTATTGCCACAATCTTCTTGGGAGATGGTTGGTTCTGTCAGTATTTCCTTACCTCAAACACATGCTTCAGAGCATCTGTACTTCTGTGATTGATGCTTTTCTCACAAAAAGCCATTCAAGTAAGACTTGCCTCTTGTTTATCTTTCTCTTTGTTCATTTGTTTCCAGAATCTTGACTGTCTGCCCAAGTGTACATTGTCTTCCTTCTCTGTTCTGTGGTTGTGTCAAGTCTCCTTTTCAGGTGAGCTTCAACTATGGCTAGTCTTACCAGGTTGGATTCCTGACCCTGTGATCCCTGGCCACTAGTGTTGGGCATTGAACTCGTTTATCTCTCTTTCAACATTCCTCCACATTTGCCCCACTATTTATCAAAACCAGTTCCTTGTCTGCATCTCATTCCTGCCTGTATTTCTAGATTACTGGAATTACTGCCTTGGTCCTGATCACTGCCAGAATTAGTGTCACTGCTTTCTCTGTGAGACTGTACTTTTGAAAACATGATCACAATTTCTTATGTTTATAACAACCCCATTGAAGGCAAGAGCTGTCTATCACATCTTATTGGTAAGAAAACCAAGAGTCAAAGAGGCTAAATAATCTACTTAGTATCACACAATGATGCTTAAATACTTTGTTAGTTTTGATGACTTTAGCCCTCTTCAAAATTCATGTTTAATAAATTAAACAAGGCTGAATTGTTAAATTCATGCATGGTTAAATTGACAGAGTTCCTGACTAACAAGCTTGAGGCCCTGAGTTCAAACCCCAGTATGGCAAAAAAATGTAAAAAAAAAAAGAAATTAAGTAGTCCTTTAGATGGTTGTATTCTGATTTAAAAAACTATTTCTTCTTCTTACTTTAATAGTTGGTTTATTGAGTTAAATTTTTTTACCTATTAATTTCTTTTCTCCTTTTCCTCCTCAATTCAGTTGTTGAGTATTACCATGTAATAGTCAATGAACACAGTATATTGCTGAAAAGTTTAATTGTAAGAAAGACAGTTTCTGTCTTCAAATAGCTGCCATCAAGAGGAAAAAACACATAATATGTGATTGTAATACTATAGTTCATTTCTATCATAAGAAATACAAAGTTGACACTTTCTGAAATCATATTATTTATGTAGATGTTACTAATTGTTTGTAATACTCTGCACTTTTCAAAACACAATTGCAATTTGTCTAACTCTAATTTCTCTTTTTAAAATGTGAACTCCATATTATAGGGTCTTTGTTGTATTCACTCACTGCTAGAATACATTCAATAGATGTGGATAACAGTAAATAGTATGTTTGATGTCTTTTAAACTTTAAAAGAAGTAATAATACTGTGTTTATGCTGAATTAAGAGTACTTACATCAATTCAACGTATTTCACTAAAAGCATTTTTTAAATTGATCTTCTTAAATTTTTGTAGTGTTATCAAAGAAGCCATATATATTATATCATTCATTCAAATACACTCCTAAGTACATAATTTCAGTTCTTTAACAGTAACTATATACTCTTAGAAATGGGTAACATCTGTTTAAAGTTGTCCAATTTCATGTTCTTTTTATTGCTTGATATTCTGTACTGTGCTCTCTGATTAATGTAAAATGGACACAGAGTTGCTACTCTGTAAATTATTGACTCTTGTTACATTTCATTTTGGCTTAATGCTTATTGAGTGGTATATGAATACAAAGCTCAGAAGGGTTGATGTTTCAATTACATTGACTATTTTATCGTTAGAGTTGCTGCATTTCAAGTTATATTGCATCTCTGTTCTTAAGTCTGTTCTCTCCTATATGTGATTATATTTCCTTTGCCATTTTCCTTACTTAAAGATCACATAGATTATATTGTAAAATTTTAGAGTGCTGAGACCACTTCTGTATAGCTAGCTTTAAAAATAGCTAACAATATTATTTACATGTAAAAATTTAATATATGTCCTATAATGATTCAATGGAAGATATTTTAAGTTTAGGTATTTGAAGTATTCAGCAAGAACAACAGAAGACATTACGAATTTTATAAATATTCATGGGTAGAAAAATTCCAAAGAACTATTTGGAAAGAAAGTAGAGGTACAAAAATATGTATTGTCAGCTCACATTTTAAAGATGGGAAACTATATGGCTAGGAAACATATGGCATCACTGTATGGCATCAGAGTGTGGCCAGTGTTGTGGGTTCATGACAGTCAATGTTTAAACTCAACGTACATACCTGAGAAGTAATTGGGAAAATTTAATCCCATGAAATTTCACAGTCCCTTTAAAAAAATAAATCAGGGACAACCCTCTGTCTTGGCATGAAAAGTTCTGAACTTGTTTACAAAGGAATCAATAACAAAATATTTTAATGAAAAAGAAAAGTAGAGAAACACAACCAATGAAACAAAAGTGCAGTTGAAGCCATCAGAGACATTTTGGAAGACTGTTTACTTCCGTGAGTTAGTACATGATACAGGAGTATTTTGTAATTATTATGATTTGCTTAGTATTTTCTCTTTTTTTATTTTTATAAAGTCTCAGAGAACATACTTAATTCTTAATATGCCTTTTCCCCCTATGGCTAGCAGAGAGCAAAGAAAAGTTATTTTGCTAATTTGGTTTGCTGTAGTTTAGAAGAGATAAAACATTTATATTTGAGGCAGAAAAGACAATCTTCAAGATTATTGTAAAATAAACAAATGTGGGATACAGAATGGGCTTTTCACAAACAAAACAAAACAAAAACCAAGAAATTGAAGAAAACACCAATGCCCTATTTCCTTTTTGAAGAACAGAAAGTCAGGTCAATGAATAAAAAGGAAATGTGAAAAATAGTGTATTTGAAACTCAAACTCTACTAATCTTCTTTAGTGTTGATTTATAATCACAACTTGTATTATCTCTTGAGCACTTATTATAGGCACTGTTCTAAAAGCTTTGTTTTATTTCTTCAAGTTCTCCAAGCAGTTTCTATGAGGTAGTTATATTTTACTGCTGGCACCAGAGAAAGGTCCTAATCCAAAACTTCATGCACCAGTACCAGGCCCTGACTGATTGTGTGCACTGTCTCTCTGTTGGGCTAGGGCTTGATAAAGATGCTACCTCTTGCTTGGAAGAGATTCTAATAATCCGTTCCAAAGGATCCTCGTGTATTTCCTTGCAGCATTTCTTCTCCTGTTACTCAGAGTGTGCTTTTCCTAATAATTATGTAGAAATGCATCGCTAAGACTAGAGAGTACTGGTTAGTCAGATACATAACACAATCCTTGCCAGACAAGTATAATAAGGAGACTAACATTAATGTTACTGGCGGTGGAGGGGAGGAACAGGGGTGCGGGGTGGGTGGGGAAGAGAAGGAGGGCAGGGCGGGGAAGAGAAGGAGGGCAGGGCGAAGAGAAGAGGAGCAGCCAGGGCTCCGCCCCCCGGGCGCTCTGCGCAGGCGCAGTGACCTCTACCGCAGGAGGGGGCGGCACGGAGTGAGCGGCGGCGTCGGAGCTTCGCAACCACTGTGGAGCCCAGAGCAGCGTCGGTTGCAGCCTGAGCTCCGCACCCGCCAGCGCCTTGGACAACTGCTCGTCCCTAGGGCTTTTCAGCTCGGCTGCAGCGTCTCTTCGCCGGGCACACAGACCGGGAAGTGGAGAGCAAGAGAGAGAAGAGAGAGGAGGCAGCGGAGCAGCTGAGCGGACACCGCCGCCCTCCAAGAAGAAGGCTGCGAATCTTCTCGGCCACCGACAGCGCCGCCACCAACGCCACCGCCACCACCGCCACCGCCGCCTCCACCACCAGCGAGCCTGGGCCGGGCAGGGCGCCGAGCGGGCCGTCTGAGGCGCAGGCCGGAGCGGGCCCGGCACCGCAGCGCTGGTGGAGGCCGGGTCTCCGAGGCGACGGCCGAGGCAGGTACAACGGTACCGGAGGAGGCGGCGCCGCCGCTCGTCCCTTGTCCTCAGGAAGGGGCCCATGGCGAGCGACAAGCCGGTCCGGCCCGGGGCTCGAGCCTCAGCCCGTGGAGCCCATCGCCGTCGGGGCCGGCAGCGGAGGCGGTGGCGAAGGCGGCGGCGGCAGCGGGATGGCGGGGCTGATGGGGCGTCCGGCTCCGACTCCGGCTCCGGTTCCGCTCCCCGCGGGGACGAGTTACCTTTCGGTGCCGATCCGCAACTTCCGGATGAAATTCGCAGTTTGGACTCCTGCAGGTCGGACAGGTCAGCAGCAGGGACATCGTGGAGACGGTGCTCAACCGGGTAAGGGAAAAGGCGTCCCCAGTGTCCCCCACCCCATCCTCGGTCCCCAGCGCCCCCTGTCCCCCCTGCACCCGGGGTCACCCGGGGTCAGCCACGCCGCGCGTCCCCAGGAGCACGGCTCGCCCCGCGGGTGCTGCCCAGCGGGTGACCTGCCCGCGCTGCAAAGCCAGGCCACCGTGCGTCCTCTGCTCGGTCCTCTCCTGCACCTGAGCAGTGCCCAGCTCCACAGCGCTTCTCACTTCTCCTCCTTGGCTGCCAGTAAATCGCCTAAAAAGGTTATGGGTGAGCTTTCGAGTTTCATTAGGGGCTGAGGGGACAGACCTCTGGTTCCCGGGCTCCTTCTCCCCTACTCTCTAATTGTCCGTGGTGTCGCCCTCCTGTGATGACAACCTTGTTCCTGGAACCTGAGTTCCCCTGTGCTGCTGAAATGTGAAAAGCACATTAGCTCCGACTTGAGCAGCTGGGGTGTGATGTTTCCAGGGAGAAAGGAAAGCGATGCAGTTTTCATCTGTCTTTGAAAATATTCCGAGGCTGTGATAAGAGTGTTGTGCAGGACCCACCCACGACCCCCGTCTCTTAGACAGCCTTCCCTTCTGTGTAATATTGCCCCGAATATGTTGGTCTCTTAAGTCATTTTCTTTTTCTATGCACACAGGTGTTAAAGGTGAGGGCATCAAATCATACAGATTGGTCTCTGTGGTTGCCTTCAGGAGAGTGACTCATGGATAAGACTAAAGGAAAGATATTAAATGCAGTCTAGGTTTTGGTTTCTTTCAAGGTAAGAAAGAGTTACTGCAGAACTGTGTGTGACTTAATGTTTTGTGCTATGTTCAGAAGGAGCATTCAAAATATTGGGAAGAAAGGGGGAAGAAATAAGAGAGGAGAATCACAAAGAGCATAATTCATAGTATTGGTGCTTTGTAAATGCAGTGTTTGCTGCAGCAAAGCATTTTAAAACAGTTTCCTCTGCAGTACCTAGTCTTTGACATACTGTAAGGTTGGGTGTGGGAAGGCAAGTTGTAAATCAGGAGCGATCAGTTGACCATTGTACTTGGTGTGGAGTCACAGCAGTTTGATTTTTCGGCTAAGGAATTATTTTTATTTGATCTATAGGAAAACTGAAAGAAAGCTGGAACTAACAGCAGTGGTGCTCTGAGACATGAATTAGGTAGTGTCTATGGTTTATGAGCTTTTTAAATTCACAGAAAAGTTGAAGACTTCTATTTTTCCTTTTTTGCCAGTGTTTCAAGTCAAAACTTGGAGTTTGTCTTTACTTTGCTATATTTATTACTGTTTAAGTGCAACATACCTTTTCTACTTTTGTATACCCTTCAAATAAGTCACTATAAAGTCAGTGTAAGTTTGGAAGAATGTCACCCTGTAAATATTACCAGTTCTTTTCAAAATGTTCAAAGAAATATAATTTTTTCTGGGGGGGTTGTGTTTTTTTAACTAGTTGCCAATACTTGCCTTTTTTGCTTTTTAAAGGAAAAGATAAAATCTCAAAAAATGTTACCACTGTAGCTGGTATTGTATTTCCATATATTTAAAGGAACACATTTTAAGTTTTTTCTCATTTCTCTAACCAATATCATTTTTACTCTAGATGATATGATAATTGTATTTGTATGCTTACTTAGTCCATCATAGCTCGGTAAGAGGCAGTAGAAGTATCACAAGCTGGAAAGTGATTTGAATGTGTAGCCAGTGTGGACTCTGCAGCAGAAGAGATGTATGCTGAATCAGTTCTTAACAGGTGGGGTTCTTTAGGTATAGTAGACTAAGTAAGGAAGTGAACTATTTCTCTTGAGGTAAAGGCATTTAACTCATCAGTGCCATGTAAATCTACCATGAGGTATGCAGACATTGTTTTAGAGAGTAGCATTACTTTTAAGCTTAGAGTCTTTACAAATATGGTAATACCAATTGGATATCCCTGCATCCACTTAAGATCTGGTGCCTGCCTTGAATTTTGGAATGAAAGAGCTAGGTAAAATTTTTTTGTGCATGGTTAGAGAATGCAATCTATTTTAGAGGAGACTTTTGGGGAAAGGATGAATGACAAAGGGAGTTGTTTACTATTTAGTTGCTAACTGTATTAATTATAGAATAGATATAGTCATTTGAAGTGTAAGAGTTCATAAATTGTAGGTTTAGGGCTTTATTTTTCCAAAATACTCATGATGAATATTGTCATGTGAAAACTTAAGCTGATGCTCAAAAATGTATTTGGAGATCATAGGCATTTAAAAAATAATTATCATTTAGGTACAAAGGACTTGTTAGAGTTTGGCAGCCTTTAATATTATTTCTGATGTTAGTTTCTTAGTTTCTTTTATTTCAGTCCTAATTTGAAATGTTAAAGAAAACTGAAATTTGAAAATAGTGAAATGTCCGTCACAGTGTGCTGTATGAGAGAAAAAAGGAAACTAGTGAAACCTGAAGTTTTTACTTTGAACAATACCCTTATCATAGTCACATTGGTCAAAATGTTTCCTTTTTTCCTGTTCATTCCTTCTTCTTATGTAATATGACAATACACATATTTGGTTTTAGGCATTATTTTACACTTGCTTTACCCAAAATATTAAGAGTTTTTCAGAGTAAAGTTTAAGTGTGCTGTAAAATATAGGCCTTCTCTGGCATAGCAGTGGGTGGAATTTTTCTATTTTTTGCCAAGGTGGACAAGCATTTCTGCTACTCAAGGGGCTTGTGGGTATTTAGAGGAGGATCAGCAATGTAATAGGAAATAAAATGATGTCATTGTAGATGCATGCATTTTGTATAATGACTTTAGAGTTGACTTAAAACATTTCAAATAAGGGATGAAGAGTATCAGGAAGATGAATAAATTAGTTTGTGAATAAAGTTACAATTTATTGTCAAGGATTTTGCCCTACCAAGTGAAAGAAATTGATCATTAACAAGCTTTGGGTTCAGGAGGAAGTATTTGATGTGGCATTATAAGATGGTTTATATTAAAGAGATTTTGTTGGTTGGTTTTCTGTTATAAAGCAGGCACACAACTTAATGCAACACACTTGACATATGTTTATATAGGGTTTCTCATTCTTGAAGTAAATGCTATGTAAATATCATGTGTATCTTTGTTTAAAACATGGAAGTTTCATTTATCACAGTTTTTGATATAACATAAATTTTTAGAAAAGACAAAATAGAGGACTAATATTTACTTAATGAAAGGATTCACAGTAGGGTGTTTTGAATAGCTGTTTTAGGTAGTATACAATTCTTTAATTATAATTATAGAATTTAGTTGTAGACGTATAGATTTTTTCAGGCATTTGTAGATTATTTTATGAATTACTATAAGGTATATCATTGTGTCTATAGTTGTAGGAAATGGCATTTCCCCTTTTATTTTTTTTAACATTCTAAGTGGCATGTTGTCTACTGTATCAAAAGTATAACAAGATATTTGAGGGGATTTCCTGGACTATTATGTTCCTCTCTTTGTTAGTCAAAAGGGAAGTTTTAAATTACTTTAAACTTGAATTGACAATAATTGTTCTTCCTCAGGGTTTATTCATTTATAGCTTGATAATAATTTTTATTGTGATGATATTTAGAATTTCACAAGCAAAAAGCCTTTTAATTGAATTTATTTAAGAAATATACAGTTGCATCTTAGGTAAACTCATGGAAGTCTTTTATGCTAATGAAACCACATTATTTATATTAAAAGAATATTCTGTATTTTAACTTATGCTGACATAGGAGCCTTTTCATATTAACTTGTATATTCTTGCTATTGAGTATGGAAAATTAAATATATAAATACTGGAAGTTTCAACATCTTAAGGAGTTCTGAGGTTTTTCACAGAACTGTTTAGTTGTATAATGACACTAAAGCAGCAAGTATTCTGTAGCCTGTCTATGATCAAGTTATATTAATTTTAAACAGGTATTTTGTGGGACATACTATACCATTAATTAAAAGCGTCTCAGTATATGAGTGTGGCTGTAATAGCCAGTCACCTGCATTTTTACTACCTGCTTAAAAATTGTTATGTATCGGTTCCACAGGTTTTTCATTTGTGCCTGTATTTCTGATATTTATTCACTGTCAGCTTATGCCTTTTGTATCACACATCACTCTCTAGTAATGAACTCATTTATGTGTGTTTACTCTCCTATCTTGTTAATTCCATGAGTGGAGTAGCTGATCTTAACATAATATAATGTGTGTGTGTGCATTTGCATTTCTAGCATTGTGGTAAATTAAGTAAATTTTTTTGTTGTTGTTTTTGGCTGTACTGGGGTTTGAACTCAGGGTCGTGCATGCTTGCACAACAGGCATTAACACTTGAATCATGCCTCCAGGCCTTCCCCCCACACACACTTTATTTTTCAGAGACAGAGTCTTGTACTTTCCCCCCAGGCTGGCCTTGGACTACAATCTTCCTACCTATTTCTCTCACTTAGCTGTGGCACATGCCACCATGCCCAGCTTTTTTGTTGAATCAGGATCTCCATAACTTTTTGCCTGGGCTCTGATTTCTGCCTCTGTAGTAACTAGGATTACAGGTGTGTACCACCACATATGGCCCTAGTTAAGTGCATTTTGAGTATGCATGAAATTAGGCAGTAATAGGACCAGTTTTTGAAAGTGTTTTCAACAGAAGAGTCCAGATCCTGGATTTAAAATAAATAAAACTCATCAGCTTAATGTAATGCTTATTCCTAAAACTAGAAATGTGTGTTGAATATGTGTATTATCAAAGTAGGCATTACTGCATATGTAAATGTTATTTTTAAGTGGCATCTGAGGGTAAGAATTTAAAGCTTTCCATATTTCTATTTTCATGTTATCAATAGAGAAAATATATAGTGCATTGAATAGAAATTTTAAAAATTGTTAGCTATTTTCATTATTACCAAAACCAGTTGACACCTCTTGTTTTTGTCAGTCCAGCATGCATATCCTCTTTTTGTAATGGTATCTCAGTTTTCCTTTGCTGATGCCCCATTCTTAGTTC